AAAAAAAAAAAAAAAAAAAAAACCCAAAAAGCAAATGGGCAAGAGACCTGAACAATACACAAAAGAATATGGCTAAGAAGCCAAAACACATGATAAAGTGCTGAATCCCATTAGTAATCAAATTAATACCACAATGAAATAAAACTACACACTCATCAGAATGGCCAACATTAAAAACACTGTTAATGCCATGTGTTGCCCAGGATGTAGAGCAAGTGAAACTCCATTTATTGGTGGTAAAAATCCAAACTTACACAATTACTTTGAAAATTGTTGATAATTTCCAGTACAGGAGGATTGCCCTATGACCCGGCAATTCCACTTGGGTGTATTCCCAAGAGAAATGAGTAGTACGAGTCCACCAACAAACAGGTACAAAATACACACAGCAGCTTTATTCATAAAGTCCAAATGTCAACAGAAAAATGTTATATATGGACTGCGGCTTGAAAGGAGTTTCTAGGAATCTTCTATTTCTTGACTGGTAGCTGCATTGAGGTTTGCTTCGTGATAGTTCACTGAGCTGTAAATTTAAGTTTCGCTCACTTTTCTTTATTTGTGTAATATTTGTAATAAAAAGGTTTAAATACAAACAAAAGGCACCACAAGATGACTGATACCTATCTACACAGCAGCCATACTAGAGCATGTGCCCTAGTTGTTTAAATTGCAATCTGAGATCCAATTCAAGTCCTCAGCTTCCTCCAGGAAGTGTGGGCAGCAAACCACAGTCCGAGAGGAGCCACTCCCATGAGATACATTAGCTACACCCACTGGAAAAGACCTTGTAACATCCTATCTTGCTTGGGACCTAGGGGTTGCAGTGTTTAGAACAGAGGATTAGCATGAGATACCACTTTCCTTTCACCTTTCTTGCCTCCCAATAAAAAAGCCACAAGAGAGAGAAACCTATTCTTCTCACAGGAGCAGTCAGGCCTTCCCAGAAGCTTGGCTCACATCTAAGATAGCCTGGGAAGCCATGGTCCTCACGCCCTGAGCTCAATGAAGAGCAGATCAACACAATGAAGCCAAGTGTCCTCAGGCCAGCAATTGCGCCCAAGACTCAATACCTGGATGGGGATAAGAAAAGAGCAGCACAACGCAGGAGGATGCTCTGCCTTTTGTGCGACTCGGCTGCCATCTCGCCGTCCTCTATTGCCTGCCTTATTTATCCGTACACTGTGCTTTATTCTATATGCCACACGTTGTCCTAGACACCAAGAATATAGTGAGGACCAGAAGAGATAGGTCTCAGCCCCACAGTTTCGGGATTAACACGCAAATGTGTATTTACAAACAGTCAAAAGCTATTTAGGGATAAAGGAAGGTGTGTGAAAGAACAGAAGGGCCCTATTATTAATATGGTTTGAGCTTTGAGTCTACTGAGCCACACTTGTTTTCTTATTCTTCTGAGCGAACTTTCAGGTATCTGAAACAACAGCTAAAAATAGCATTTGTCTAGATAGAACAAAAATGACTTAAGAGCATTCATTTGCCATTTACTGCATACTGCCTTAGTTACCTGACCTATATGTCAGCTGTTCTCAAAAGTCAATTAAAAACTGCATTTTTATTGTTACAGTGATGTGGGAGGGTGGCAACATCAGCAGCATTTAATATTCGAGGACCAGGGATGCTGGATGTCTCACAACATGCAGGACAGGTAGCACGATGAATTGTTCTGTGTACTACATCACTTCTGGACGTCTGCCAGATAGTCACGTGGGTGAAAACCTGTTTAGAATCGCCTGAGGCTAGAATCTAAGACCATTTTCCATTTAAACACAAAAGTTCTCCATGGGACACAAGTTCCTAAAGGACACAGGCTAGGTCTCATTTACCTTCCCCTTGGTACCTGTTTAAGTTTAAGTAGATGACAAACATTTGCTAATTTATTTAAATCACAAAGAAAACTCATGTCAATAAGCAAACCCGATGAGCTGTCATTTTTTCTGGGACTACAAATACTATTCAATATACTACAGGGAGGTCTCCCTTTCAGGGCCTGAAGAAAGTTACTTAGTTTTTCCATGACTTAGTTCAACATATAATCAGATGATTTTAACAAACTAAGTTTTCTTTAAGTAAGGTTACAAACTGCACAATACAATGAAGTGTTTTTTTTAACTCCAAAATGCTTAAGGGCAGGAAGAAAGGGTATGTTTAAGTACAGCTAACTCTTGAACAACACAGGGGTTAGGGTTATGGAACCTGCATGAAGTAAAAAACCTATGTATAACTTCTGACTCCCCCAAAACTTAGCTACTAATAGCCTGTTGACTGAAAGCCTTGCCAATAATATAAACAAATGATTAACATATATTTTGTATATTATATATTATATATAGCTTATAGTAAGCTAGAATGTTTCTAAGGAAATCATAATGAAAACATGTACAGTACTGTATTGTATTTATTTTAAAAAATCATTTATAGGGGCGCCTGGGTGCCTCAGCTGTTTGAGCATCCAACTCTTGATTTCAGCTCAGGTCATGATCCCAAAGGATTGTGGGATTGAGCCCCACATCAGACTCTGTGCTGAGTGTGGAGCTTGCTTAAGATTCTCTCTCCCTCTATCCCGCTCTTACACTTTCTCTCTCTCAAATACATAAATATATATCTAGGTATGAGTGGACCCACACAAGACAAACCTGTGCTGTTCAAGGGTCAACTGTATTTTCATCACCTTGGTCCTATTCTAGTATCCCCTACTCAATGAACTGCTCCATCACATGACCAGCTTTAAAACCTAGAAACCTAGGTCATGGTTGACAACGTCCTCCCCTTCACTACCCCATCCCATCAAGAAGTCTTATCAATTTTACCTTCTCACCATTTTTATGATTATATAGGTACTTTATATACTCTGGAAATCTCTGATATCATCCTATTGCCCTGTGCTTTTTTAAAAGCTTTCTGGTTGAAAATTATGGTTGGGTTTCCATTAAGTGAGGGTCTGCTATTTCCTAATAATTTCAAGGAGAATTCAACATTTGTTTCTTTAAAAAATCAACATAAATCAGTGATTTGTCTTTTGATTATGTTGCTTGATTTATCAAGTAGGATCCTAAGTTATATATAAATCTTATCAGGACAAGTGAAGCTACTATGACCAAGGAGAAGGTTGGCCTAAGTACTGGGGCAATACATAATATATAGTAAGTGCATTCGACACAAAACACAGGACAGCCAGATGGCTAAATTAAGAAGGGGTAACATTAAACACAAGCAGAAAACAAAACAAAAACAAACAAACAAACAAACCCAACACAGCAGAAAGCCTACAAATAATTCACGACTGATGACATTATAATGTAGGTGAACGGACTGTACAAAACGTCAAGGGCTGCATTACGAATAGCGCTGCACTCTGAGAGTTGCTAGGAAACCATCTCACTTATCTATCCTTACTTAAAGGAGGAAAAGAAGGAATGGTAGAAAAATTAAGGTGGGCCCCAGTGAGTTGTGTTTTACTTCCAGAGAAATAGCTTTCCCTCTGTCATATTGTCTTATATGCTGCAAAAGCACAGGAACATAATTAGTTGTAAAGCACTAAACTTGGTGCATTTCAAAAGCTAAGAAATAACTGCAAAATAAATAAATAAGCCATGGGAAGGCACAGGTAAAATCTAACAAGATAGTCTCTCCGCTTTTTCGTTTACTAGGGAAAATGTCCTAATTCCTAGCTATAAATTGTTTTTTGGCAAGAGAATTATTTGGAAGAATTCTGAACACTAAAGGAAACTGATTATAGGAAAAGAGGCAATTATGACAAATGATAAATCTTTAGAAACAAACCCATACCAAATAAGCAACAATGTGATCAAAACTGTCAATTTTATTAACCCAAAGAAATGTACTAAAAGCTATCATAATCACTGGTAATATCAGGTAAGAGATTTATTTTTAAAACTCTGAATTCACAGGGGCACCTGGGTGGCTCAGTCGGTTAAGTGTCTGACTTCGGCTCAGGTCATGATCTCATGCTTTGTGAGTTCAAGCCCCACATCAGGCTCTGTGCTGACAGCTCAGAGCCTGGAGCCTGCTTTGGATTCTGTGTCTCTCTCTCTCTGACCCTCCCCTGCTCACACACTGTATCTCTCTCTCTTAAAAATAAACATTAAAGGGGCGCCTGGGTGGCGCAGTCGGTTAAGCGTCCGACTTCAGCCAGGTCACGATCTCGCGGTCCGTGAGTTCGAGCCCCGCGTCAGGCTCTGGGCTGATGGCTCGGAGCCTGGAGCCTGTTTCCGATTCTGTGTCTCCCTCTGTCTCTGCCCTTGCCCCGTTCATGCTCTGTCTCTCTCTGTCCCAAAAATAAAAAAAAAAAAAAAAAAAAAAAAAAAAAAAAAAAAAAAAAAAAGAAAAAAGTTGAAAAAAAAATAAACATTAAAAAAAAAAAATTCTGGATTCACAGAAAATTTGTCTAAACGTGAACGAACAAAGAGGACTACGTTAGACGAACATCATACCGTAAGGCTTTTCTTCTGTTACTTTGCCGGTGGAATCTAGCGTGTCAGTAGCTTTCCCCAGCTCCCCAATGGCGGTGTACCTCTAGAGGAAAAGAAGCAAGGGAGAAAAATAGGTCATCAGGTAAAGAAAAACTTACGCCTGTCTTGAAGCTTTATACAGAATTTTACTAACCCTACCAACTTGAGACAAAATAAAGGCAAAAATAAGCGACTGCAGCTGTTTCGTTAATTTGTGACATGTGGGAAGCACTTATGTAAACTGAGGAGTGCTCACGAACTTCCCACACCAGTCCACACGACACAGAAGAGCCGGATTTTACTGACCATTATGGCTCGTAAACATACGCTTGTTACAAACCAATTTCTAAGACCAGTTCTGGGAACTGGGAAGTTTTGATTCTGGAAGAAAAATTTCAGATATACCTATGAGTAGAGAGAATGGTACAATGGCGTGGCCAATGGTATGTGGCCATCAGAAGACTCAACAATTTTACCACACGTACAATTAAAATTAATTTTAAAATATATCCATTTACTACTTCTTACAGGAAATACTAAGACTAATCTTAGTAGCTTCGTTAGATGTTTAAACAAAAGCTAAATATGCAGAAAGTGAGCCAAACTGCTACAGCAGAACTGGTGTCCTTAATATTACACGCGTTTTCTTAATAAAGAGAAATAGCTACTTCTCAAGCTCTCTGAAAGGAAAAAAGTCACATCTAAGAACTGATCATTCACAGTTAACTGAGGACTATTTTCCTTCTCACCTCAGGGCACATTTGTATTACATACTGTTTATACTACTTTCTTTTGGTCAAATTCAAATTTTATTTGGAACAGCTCATGAAGCAGTGAGAAAAATGCCAGGAATATAATTCCCACTGAAAAGATTCTGTAGTTATGTGGACAACTGTTTAAAGACGAAGCTCAAAGTACTTTGTAGAAATATAAGCTTATTAATGACAAGTTTATTATGTTAGCAAAGGAACCAGAGACAAAAATGAGAAAAATATTAGAACTTCAAATTCCCATGAACAAGCATTTTATACCAGTCCAAGCTGCCTGTGGATGAAATCGCCTTCTATTACATAGCTCAAAATAATTTTTTCAAATAATTTAATATAGGGGGAATGTTCTAATGCATTTGAATTAACTTTTTAAAAATTTCAGAGAAAGACAAATACCCTGTGATTTCACTCATATGTGAAAACAAAACAAACACAGGGGGAAAAAAAGAGACAAACTAAAAAACAGAATCTTAAATATAGAGAACAAACTGGTGGTTACCAGAGGGAAGGTGGGGGCGGGTATGAGAGAAACAGATAAAGGGCATCAAGAGTACATTTATCATGATGAGCAGAGAGATGTACAGAATTGTTGAATCACTGTGTTGTATACCTGAAACTAATATAACACTGGATGCTAACCACACTAGAATTAAAATAAAATTTTAAAAGTTCCAAAAAAATGTTTCATTAGTATCGACAAAAATTAGTTTCTTGTAACTAAACAAACAGTCTCATCACCCGAGATGCTCCACTCCTGCTTCCATATTTTGCAACAGTCAACCTGGATTAAGCAAACCATGGGGAGAAGTATATACAGCAGGGTGAATGGGAAGAGCGTGGACTCAAAGGGTTGAATCCTGATGCCATCACAAAAAGTAGATTAAGTGAGCCTTTCATGCTGGAGCCTTGTTTTCCTGATCTTAGAATGGAGATGATAATAGTACCTCAGGAGGGCAGAGTTTAGAACAGTACCTGGCCACAGTAAGCAACAGAAAACAATACTATTGTCATCATTATTATTTGAAAAAGAAAAAGAGCGAGAGATACAAAATGATTCACAGTAACAGTGGTTTGAGTGACTCATCTGGTTATAGTGAGTTCCCATGAGAAACAGGAAAGCAAGAAAGTGCTCTGATTTTTGCCTTAATCATCTGGTTGCATAAGAAAAACAGTGCAATCTATATACATCACGAGAAATCATCACTGTTTTCTGGTTTTCCGTGAACCTTGAAACTTTTTGCATTATTCTATGTAACAAGTTTTAACCAGGCACCTTTTAATTCTGGAACATGCTTTCCAAGTATGCAATGCTCATTCTAGTCTCTGAGCTCCAGGGGTTCTTGGCACATGCAATTTCGCTAGCCTTGAGCTTCCTCTCTTCTCCAGCAATCAAACCCTAAACCCTGTTATCTTTCAAAGCCGCTCTATTAATTTATCTCAACTTCCAATCGCTCACCTGGCAGCAGAGCTAAGAGTAGGTGTTCAATACATGAGAAGAATGGAGGCCTATATCAAGCCCACATTGTGTATTCATTCATTCACTAGTGTATTCATTCAGTCAATCATGTTTAAGGATTGTGAATGTACCAAATATTCTCCTAAGTGCCTGTGAGAGATGCAAAGATATATATTGATCCTTATCTTCCCCAATTACAAACTGTTAGCTTGGATTTTGCAATGCTGTTCTATTGTGTTTCTCACTAGATGGAAACATGGTAGCAGCTTAATAAAAAAGTTGTTGATAGAATTATATACATGCTGGAGAAGTTCTTATCTGTGCAATTGACATTTCACCACAGTTTTGCACATCCACATGGTACCTGCCAAGTTTCAAACCCTTTCAGGTTCTGCAGTTACACTGAATCTGGCTACATGTTGGATTCTTCTAAAGGGAAATATTACTTAAACCAGTAATTCTCAAACACTGTGGTTTTAGAACCCTTATAAACACTTGGAAGTTACTGAGAAACCCTGGTGCAGGTGTTTTTTTTTTTCATATGAGTTCTATCTGTTGATACTGACTGTATTAGAAATTAAAGCTCAACAATGTTTAAAACACTAAAATACATGCACACATTCCATTAACTATCAGACCCATGCTACCATCAGGTAACCTCTGAAAAACCACAATATACCTGTGTGATGGCAAAGCTCTGAGAACGGTTTTGACCTCAACAGACCACCCCCCTCAGAAGTCCCCGGAACACAGTTGGTGAACTGCTCATCTAAATCATAGGTGTTTTCTAGTTTTCCCTTGTCTTGGCGTCTAGTGATAATTATCTTTTAATTCTAGTCAATGGTCCACAAGCTACTTAGTAAAATCCACCCGGACAGTTAAGCCTCCTAGTGAAACAAAACCTTACCACCAAGAAGATATGGGTTAAAAGAAAAAAAAAAAAAACAAAAAAACCAAAAAAACATGGCAAGGTAGATCTATAATGCTACCATTTTATCCTGTGGGATCTAAAGTATTTCTATTCACTGGCCTAAATTCGACACAGACACAGGATGCATACCTGGGAATTCTGAAATCTATTAATGGATACGTTACAACATAATTTGACTACACGAAAATGGAGGTCCTGTGGAATTTTTAAAGAGGTTTCCACTGAACTGTGTGCTCTTTGAGATTCATGGTTTCTCACTGATACTAGCACTATTCTCCTCTCTCCTTCACCCCTCTTCAAGCTCCCTGAACCCCCCAGCAAGACACTAGCTAGACAGCTTAAGAGCTAACCGGCTTCCATACTCTTCAGAAGAAAGGAAACTGTTTTTGTATTTCAGAGAGATAATCATTTCCATCTCAACTAGGCAACTGCTTTTTTTGAGGCTTATTTTGAAAGCTTGTGATTCGAAGTTTCATGAACAAACAAAGGAATATTATTTACGATGAGGAAGAACATTTTTTTTTTTTTAAATCTACCAAACCAACAACATGTGACTTTGAATGTCTTCATTAAAAAGGAGTAGCTCGGGGCGCCTGGGTGGCTCAGTCGGTTGAGCGTCCGACTTCGGCTCAGGTCGCGATCTCGCGGTCCGTGAGTTCGAGCCCCGCATCAGGCTCTGGGCTGATGGCTCAGAGCCTGGAGCCTGCTTCCGATTCTGTGTCTCCTTCTCTCTCTGCCCCTCCCCCATTCATGCTCTGTCTCTCTCTGTCTCAAAAATAAATAAAAAATTAAAAAAAAAAAAAGGAGTAGCTCTTCATAGATCCTAAGTGGAAGCCTTTCAAATTTTCAATATAGTACTTATAGAATATATGAATATTAATAGACTGTAAAGACAAGGTACAAATTGGACCATGCTCTGGAGAAAATGAGGGAAATGCACAAGTCCTGGAAAGTTGGCTTATGTTCCATAGGAGCAATAGTGACATCACAGTTCAGAGTTAACATTGATTGGTTAACCTAAAAATGCCACTGTATACTTGGGGAAAGTTACTATCCTTTGAACACATCCAGGGTGGAAAAGTTTGGATACCCCAATAATAATACTTGTTTAATTGTTGGAGGGATACAAAGCTGCTTTCTGAGGAAACACTGGCTTTGCCTACAGGTACCACTTCAGTTTATCTCCACAGTGATAGGAAAACAGTCTTACCTCTGGATAATGCCAGTTAGTCTTTAAATGGCACCAGTGATTTCAAAATAGGACAGCAACCCTTCCACCTGCTCATGTGGTTTCTAAAGCACATATATAAGTAACTGACTTTAATTAGCAATACAGGATGCTAATAAAGGTAATACTGCAAAACCTCATCAAAGTCCATTACTTCAAAGTACATCTGCTACCCAGCTTCTGCTCAATGATTGGCTCAAAGAAAGTATAATTTAGGGAAGCTAGCAGAGGAACATGCACGCGGCCTTCTAGGCACTTAGATCAAGTGAGGCCAAAAGGACACGAGTCTAACCTCTCTCAGAATCATTTTACCTAAGTTACATTTTATATAGATCCACTTCTACATCTGTTGTAAAACTATATTTGAGAACCACGGTCTATCATGCGATATCCCTCACAGTAAGAAATTTCTTTCTCACTTTAATGCCCAGAGCTGGAAGCTGATGCTGCTTCTTTCTGATGAGTGCCACGTTTTGCCTAGGCTACCAGAAATCAAAGATAAGGAAAAGGAATGAAATTAACTGTACTCAAGGTCTCCAACAGAACTTGCTCAGATAAAATAAATGTCAGTGTCTATGGGACATATAGTTAGAAATCCAACAGGCCTGGAACTCAGGAGAGAGATTTGGGGATTCGTGAAATACTTGGGAATAGTAATATTAATGACCCTTGAATAACAAGGGTTTGAACTGCATGGGTCCACTTACATGCAATTTTTCACAATACAGTTCTATAATGTATTTTCTCTCCCTTATGGTTTTCTCAATACCATGTTTTCTCTAGCTTACTCTGTATATGTATTTTATACTGTATTATTAAAGTATGTATTAATCAACTGTTTATGACATCACTAATGCTTATTAGTAAGTTAAAATTTTAGGGAGTCAAAGTTATATGGTGATTTCTGACTGTGTACGGGATCAGTGCCCCTAACCCCCACATTTTTCAAGGGCCAACTATAATAGGATTTATCGATCAACTTCTGTATGCAATGCATTATTTGGAAAACCTACAGACTCTGTATACACACTAGACATGTAATCCAAAAGAGCATGCAGTGAAAACAAAAAAGGACTCAAGAGAAACATGATCATTGGCAAAGCAAAGGGCACCATAAGATAGGAGAGGAAGCAATGAAGCACACAGAGAGGGACCCTTAAATCTTACACTGATCTGAACTGGAAGGAATGCAAGAAAGAAACTGGGTGGTCTGAATGGTCTCTGGTCTTCAAAGAATGGGAGCAAAATAATCTGATGGCATAGAGATTTTATTTAAAAGGTCAGCACTCCACCCATTAAATGAGAGTAGCTGTATGAAGTGGCACTGTTGAAATGGATTCGAAGGACGTGCCTCGGTTCAGCAGGGAAGAGTGTTAGGCCACGTTCACTTAACAGTATCTCTGATCATGACTGGATGGCGAGGGAAGGATGTACTGTGATACGGCTGTCATGTGAACATCGAGTATCTGCCATCCAAGAACCAAGTAATTCTACTCTTGAGGTAACTCCACCCTACCCCTACCAGAAGTCTAATTTTTCTAGTAGCGTTGTGATGTGAATAAAATTCATCGTAAAAGTAGGAAGTGGAGAAAGAGGAAGCATTGGGTCAAACTGTAGGTCCGTGCCTAGCTAGGCACAATCTGCAGGCACCACTTATTTTTAATGAAGTAGAAGGACAAATATCAAGAGGACATCATACATAGAGTTACGGCTGTTGGATGAAACTTTTGTTTTTTATACATGTATGTGTATAGAGGGCCACAATGTAGAATGAATTTCTTACTATGGGTCTTGGAAAAAAAATGTTTAAAAGCCATCTCTGGAATTGCTTCCAGTGATACAGACAAAATCTATTTTTAAAAAATTTATTCATGGAGCACCTGGGTGGCTCAGCCGGTTGGGCTTCCGACTTCGGCTCAGGTCATGATCTCACAGCTTGTGAGTTCAAGCCCCGCGTCAGGCTCTGTGCTGACAGCTCAGAGTCTGGAGCCTGCTTTGGATTCTATGTCTCCCTCTCTCTCCGCTCCTCCCCCGCTTGTGCGCGCTCTCTCTCTCTCTCTCTCTCTCTTTCTCTCTCGAAAATAAACATTAAAAAAAGTTTTAATTTATTAACAATTTTTAACTACTTTTGATAAAAAATGTAATATTGCACATAATTAAATTTAAATGACTTATCTTTTAACAGATACATAACCTAAAATTAAAAGTATAAAAAAACAAATAGCTAATAAGATAATAATGCCTACTTTTGAAATGTGAGGCACATAAGAGCTAGGTTTCTGTAATAAGATGCACCTGGGATTTTCTATTTGGGATACAGTCATCTGAGGATCAGCGATTTCACTGTATGACATTCTGCTTTCTAAGCTGAATACCAAAATGCTTTGTGATAAATAAAGCTTAAACCAGAGCCAATGATGTATTTATATTTCCGGTCATATTTCTAGAAATATGCCTGGAATTTATATGTAAAATCTTTCAATACTGTGTTGTATTTGTAGTTTCCAGAGGAGGGGAGAGGTGAATAATGAATATTCGAAAAAGAACAAATCCTTAATGCAAACATATCTTTTTTGTTATTATTATTATTGTTATTATTATTATTATAAAAGTGACTTCTTCATTGTAAAGATTTGGGAAAATACTAAATAAAGTGAAAAAAGAAGGGGCGCCTGGGTGGTTCAGTCGGTTGAGCGTCCGACTTCGGCTCAGGTCATGATCTCGCGGTCTGTGAGTTCGAGACCCGCATCGGGCTCTGTGCTGACCGCTCAAAGCCTGGAGCCTGTTTCGGATTCTGTGTCTCCCTCTCTCTCTGACCCTCCCCCGTTCATGCTCTGTCTCTCTCTGTCTCAAAAATAAATAAACGTAAATAAATAAATAAATAAAGTGAAAAAAGAAAAGAAAAATCATCCATAATCCTGTATCAAAGTAACCACTTAGATATTGAAGAAACAAATATTAAGCAAACGGCAAAACCCTGTATCAGAAACAAATTCTAGACTTCATGTGGAGGTATTTAAGCACAAAGGTGCTTAGCAAAACAGTCAAACTCTGCCATTGCAACACAATTTTGGTATTCTGTGATTTTTCAACACCAACATTTTAAAGGTTACACAGCAAGCCACACTGTAATGTTTACACTTATCTGAGGTATTAAGATCCTTTCCAACTGAAAGATACAGGTTTCTACTCCAGTTGATAACTAAAAAGGGGCTATCAAAGACCGTGTGTTCTCCAGGGCTTTTATTTTAAGAAAAGCTTACTTAGGCCGCTGCCACTCAAAGTGTGTCTACAATGAGGTAAGTTCAGAAAACGAGGCTGCTGAGAAACGTACTTCGCAATCTGACGTTGCTATAACATTTAAATTATATTTTACAAAAGTCATCAATTAGTCTGCAACAAACTGGAAGCTTTTTTTTAAAACAGTCTTTGACCATTATAGATATTTTAAGAAGCAATTGTGACAAATTCACCTTACCAACTATTAAATAAAAAGTTAGTCTAGGGACTTGCCGAAATTCTTCTCCACCTAGCAGCTTATTAATCTTCCCTCCAAAGGCATTTTCACTGGTCCTTAGCCCCAATTATTATAACCAGCACCTCACTGCTAATTAGGACACAGATACTATTGTCTCTTTTAGAGCTGGAAGAGACGTGTAGAGGGGATCAAATCATTCTTCCTAATGAAAAACTGAGAGGCTCTGAGAGGTTAATCCCTTTGACACGTTGACTCCTGTTTCAATGCTCCTTCTGCCCTGAGGTTTTGGGTTTTGCGTGAGGATTCTCACTGAATGCCTGAAGCGACACACAGATTTACAGTTTTTCCTGCCCCTGCATAACGCTTCCTCTCTCTCCCATCAAATGCCTCAAAATGTGCTTTTGGATTTAGTCAAGGTAACTCTCACAGATGAATGATGTAACTTATCATCCTAAAGAAGCCTCACTTTTCTTTAGTAAACATTTTCTAACCATTAAACAAAGCAAGTCTTTTGTTGAAAAGTGCATGGGAGGGGCGCCTGGGTGGCTCAGTCGGTTAAGCATCCGACTTCGGCTCAGGTCATGATCTCACAGTCCGTGAGTTCGAGCCCCACGTTACGACAGCTCAGAGCCTGCTTCCGCTTCGATTCTGTGTCTCCCTTTCTGCCCCTCCCCTGCTCATGCTCTGTCTCTCTCTGTCTCAAAAATAAATAAAAACATTAAAAAAAAAAAAAAAAAAAAAGAAAAGTGCGTGTGCTGGGTTAAAGTGGATTGTTTTATAAAATCTGTTAAAAAAAAAAACCCTACCAATAGAAGTTAGGATCTGTAAGTTCTCTTGCATCTAAGAAACAGATTTATAAAAAGACTTAAGTGCCTGTGGCGTATAGTCATAAGCGTCCGATCTCATTGTCACACACATCCGCGGTCCGTGAGTTCGAGTCTCCGCGTCAGGCTTCCTGGGCTGATGGTTCAGAGCCTGAGCCCGTTTCCGGTTCTCCCAGGTTTCCCCTCTCTGCCCCTCCCCCATTCATGCTCTGTCTCTCTCTGTCCCAAAAATAACAACGTTGAAAAAAAAATTAAAAAAAAAAAAGTATAATTTTTAAAATTTATAGGCACTGCAGAATTTTTGCTTCTATAAATCAATTTGCTTTTCAATTAAGAACTTCCAATTTATAGGGGTGCCTGGGTGGCTCGGTTGGTTAGGCATCCAACTTCAGCTCAAGTCATGATCTCATAGTTTTTGAGTTCGAGCCCCACATTGGGCTCTGTGCTGACAGCTTGGAGCCTAGAGCCTGCTTTGGATTCTGTGTCTCCCTCTCTCTCTGCCCCCACCCCACCCCTGCCTCGCTCGCACTCTGTCTCTCTCTCAAAAAATATACAAACATTGAAAAAAAAAATTTCCAATTTATAGTCTCAACATTTCGAATCTCAGATATCACAACATGTAATTAATGTTCAGGAATGACACCTATAAATGCACACAGTTTATTTTTCAATTGATCAAAATCCAAAACATAGGTCATTAAAAACATTCAAGAAAAAAGAAAAACAAAAGTTTTCCAGTATTCTTACCTTGGACCCTGACAACATACTGGTCAACATTTTTGTCCCCCTTCCGATTCCAACCACTATAAACCAAAGAAAGAAATATTATGACACTCTATTCTGAAAACTAGGTTTTTAAAATATCTATATATTTTGGTCCTAATTTCTTGGCACGTATAATAAAAAGTTGGAGGGAACATCTATTTAGCATAATTAGAGGGCTCCTCTTACTGCAATCAGTTTAACCTGTCATGCAACTTAGAAATTCTGAAGACACTATGGGAGACACACATTTTTCCTCTCAAAGTGTTAAACGTGAGAGAAGACTCAACCTAGACAATTAGATAATGAAATTTTAGAAGAATCTCCAAAGACTCACTGGAATTTTATATGGGCATCAGTGAAAAATACATGGCACAATTTAACCACGGTATATAAAAGCCTTTTGACAGAGTTCATTACCAAGCAAACCAAAAGCCATCATCATAGCTAATGAACCATTTAGAGATGATTCGTGTCCAGTAGTATACAATCAAGAAAACAGAAACATAACAGATCAACCAAACACAAAAAAGAATACAGGGTAAAATGAGAGCTTGCAGAACGTATACTCATATAGACCATCTATTAAGTACAACAATGGCCCACCTATCTCTTCAATTTCAAACATTATTTACCCTTATGACAACACATTTCACCAGGTGAGAATAGGAGTTTACGATGATTTCTGCACTTAAGAGCAAGAAGCTTTTGTAAGAATTGAAGTATTTCTCATTAATGGATGTGATTTTGTAAAAGAACACAATATAAACACCACAATTCAGAATTGCAAGAAAAAACAAGGAGAAATGCCTGGCAAGCTAAAAGAATTATTATGAATATTTACAGTGGATATCATTCATTGAGTTTACCATGTATCAAATTCCACTCTAAATGCTTCCATTTGTTGGCTCATTTAATCCTTATAACAATGCTAAAAAATAATACAATTATCCCTATTTTATAGATGAGGAAACTGAGAGAGAGACTCTAAGAACGTTGCCTAGAATCTCACAACTAGTAAACAGTAGAGTTAAAATTCGGATCAGACTCTCTAACAGCGGACCCCCTTCCTTTTCATCCTTCTGCTACCTGACTCATCTAGACTTTCTTCCCACTGTCATGAGCCTGAATTAGCCTAAACCAATACCAGTCTGTTCTACATTCTATCCCTTTCTCTTCCAATTCATACCATTTCATAACCGCTTCTGATAACCTGTACTGCACACTACAAAGCCCCCCCCAAAATACTCAATTGGGTCCCAACGTCTATGGTACCAACACTTTTTTATTCAAAATTCATCCTTCGAAACCTAGCTCAAATCTCAACCCCTATACAAAATCATCCCAAACCCTCTCTAAGCTTCTACGGTAGAATCATACTAGTTCAAAGACTAATATAAAAAACTGTATGCCTTTAGTATCTTCTGTTGAGCACAGCGCTCTCCAGATGACAGCTGCTGCCGTCCAGGCACAAACTTTGTAAAATAACAATAAAGATCCAGCGCACCGGGGTGGCTCAGTTGGTTAAGCATCCAACTTCAGCTCAGGTCATGATCTCAGGGCTCTTGAGTACGAGCCCCACATCGGGCTTTCTGCTGTCGACAGAGCCCACTTCTGATCTTCAGTCCCCCTCTCTCTGCCCCTCCCCCACTCACTCTCTCTCAAAAATAAATAAACATTAATAATAGTAACAACAAAGATCCAATCCAATTTTGTTCCATTCAAGAATCCCCAGTCAATATTTCTGGGGCAGCTACTATGTACTATGTACACAGTCCCAAGAACAACACTTTGATGAAACAGAACATTTCCTGACTTTGAAAGAGTTTATAACCTTATAGGGAAAATAAAATACAGATAAGAGAAATTGCAAGTGCTCAAAAAAATGGTGCATAATGAGTGAATAACACTAAACAGCAGTATGATAATATATGATTAAGAGTCAAAATGAACGCAGCATAACTGCTGTAGAAGGTCAAGGAAGGGAATACTCTGAACTGCTATAGAGGCCAGATAATGCTTCTTTCAAGCATTTCAAACAGAGTTTGAGTTGCCTTAAAGGATGTTTAGAATTTGAACATACAGAGAAGAGAGAAGTACATTCTAAAAAAGGAACAAACTGCACACATTCTCAGACACAAGGATGAGCACAGTGGCTTTATCAACCACAGTGCAGGTGTCTCAGCGTAGGCTGACATGTTTGACTTTACCATGGTTGAAACGCTGATGTCTCTGCTAGTTCAGTGATCCAGAATGATAGAATTTGAAACAAGAAGGCATCTTAGAGTTATCCAGCTTAACCTTCTTCTCATTTTATACCCAAGAAAACCAAGGTCCACAAGACCTTTGTGATTACACTGGGTCCACCTGGATATTCCAAGATAATCTCTTTACCTTAAAGTTAGCTCATTAGCAACATTAATTCCATCTGCAATTTTCATGCCCCCTTGTGATAGAACCTAAAATATTCATAGATTCTGAAGATTATGACATGGGCATATTTAGGGAGTCATTATTCTATTTACCACAGGATTTTTGAGAATCTTGCAAGCCTTCTTTATAGAATTATGTGTCATATATACCATATATAACATAGGTTAACAGAATTATAAGCCTAAATTTCAGGTTATATCTTAAATTGTCAGCTAAATTCTTATATCTGTACCATTAATATTACAAAGGAAAAAAAAACAGCAAAAAACAGTCTATATGTTGAAAGTAAAAGTACATTTTTTCACACAGGTTCAGTTTTGTTTAAAAAACGTTTTATAAAGCACTTTACAGAGTACAGCATATATCATTATGTTATGAATATTTTGTATGGTATTTCCATAAATCTGCTGAGAGTTATGGTAGATGTTATCCCTTTCAAGAGATAAACAAATGGAGATTCAGAGAGATTATAGGTTTTCCCAGGGTGTGTGTACTTAGTAAATAAAGCAGCTAGTTCACAGACTCATGATTAGAACCCAGTGTTTATTCTACCATATAACAAAAATCAACTTCTAACAGTCTCCAGAACTACTAGTTTAGACAATGAATATCCTCTATTCTGTGACTAAATACCTACCTTTTTTAAACTTTATTCCTCATTGGGAACTACAGGCATTAGAAGAAAAATTAATACATTTGACACATGTACAGATTATATCATCATATAAATCGCTGGATGATCAAATATAAATTAAGCCTCCAGACAGGAAATTAATTCCAATGCAACTTCTTCCACTCACACAAATCTCAGCCAAATACCTGTCCTTCATAATTCTAAAATGGAAATTTCAACAAGATCCCTTAGCTTAGGGTAAAAACTAAACTTATTTATTCACTGCCTTGAATGTTATCATCTTCTGCATACCAATGAGTAAAAACCACCAGAAACTAATACAATTGGTCCATTCGTAAATACACAGCAGACCTTATCCTGTCTCTTCTTATATTTTGGTGCTGTGCCTTGGAAAACAATAGAACAGAATGGTTACAGCAAATAGACTTCAACTCATGGAGTGCTGAACTGATCAAGAACGGAGAAGCCAGTTGTAGGACCAATCGCTAAGAATGCGGTGACTGATCAGTAATCCTGCAACAGGATGAGAGAAGGAGGGCCAGCCAGGTATCTGCCATGCCGGGTTAGGGCAGAAGCTTTGGAGCTGAGCACATCTGAGTCGAAATCCTGACTCTGCCAAAAACTATGACCATGTATGACTTCTCTGTGTTTTCATTTCTTCTTCTGTAAAATGACAAATAATAACATCTACCTTATAGGACTACAATAGGATTAAAGTATATAATTTATGAATGTCCTAAGCTGAAGACTTTACACATAGTAAGTTGTTCAATAAATGATTATCATTAGTTATGGCAAGAAACAATAACTGTCAGAATTTGCCTATTCAAGTTCTCTAATTCAGGAAAATGGATTTCCTAGTGTTTTAAAAATCTATTTAAACCTTCAGTAAAGATATTTTTGCCAATGTGAATGAAATAAAAACTGTAAGTTTTGAAAGTGCAAACTCCTACATTGTTTCTAACTTTCTTGAAAAATAGAATTTTCTTCACCAATTTTATTCTTTTCTCCTAAATAAGCATTCATTTCCTTTGGATAGCTTAGATTGGGTTTATTGTTTGTATCTAATTTTTTAGCTCTAATAAAATGGATTGGACACTGTAGCACAGTATTTTATAAACCAGTAGGCACAACCCATTAGTGTATTGTGAAATCAATGTAGTGGATTACCAACATTTTAAAAAATGAAACAATATGGCACAAAAACAGATACTCAGATCAATGGAACAGAGTAGAGAACCCAGAAATGGACCCACAAACGTATAGCCAACTAATCTGTGACAAAGCAGGAAAGAATATCCAGTGGAATAAAGACAGTCTCTTCAGCAAGAGGTGCTGGGAAAACTGGACAGCGACATGCAGAAGAATGAACCTGGACCACTTTCTTACACCATACACAAAAATAAACTCAAAGTGGATGAAAGACCTCAATGTAAGACAGGAAGCCATCAAAATCCTCGAGGAGAAAGCAGGCAAAACCTCTTTGATCTTGCCCGCAGCAATTTCTTACTCAACACGTCTCCAGAGGCAAGGGAAACGAGCAAAAATGAACTACTGGGACCTCATCAAAATAAAAAGCTTCTTCACAGCGAAGGAAACAATCAGCAAAACTAAAGGGCAACTGACAGAATGGGAGAAGATATTTGCAAATGACATATCAGATAAAGGGTTAGTATCCAAA